AGAAGAATCCTAAGCCCAAAAACAACGCAGTATATATTTATACTATTAAGAAGCATATGTAAAAGCCTTTTAATTGACAATTGGCAACCATACTATAACTATAAAATCTGATTCAGATGCTTTCTGAAATACTGTATTGAAAGAGCAATGAATAGTTTGGACTCAAGGTTTATTATTAAATACCCAAAGAAAACAATTGCAAAATTTGAACTAGTCGTGCAGATGGTTATCAGCAGGCAAGTGTGGTGATGTACTACAACAGTTTATACTGTGGCTAAAAGAAGTACAAGAGTATTGCTCAGAAGAATTCAAAAATTATGACTACAGAAAAGACAGAGTTGATTTTATTATGGCATCAGGGGGTAAAACAAGAATACTTGATGGAACTCTGGAATGTCATCAAAATGCTATTCATTTTGTTCCATAGTCAGTCATAAATAGAAAGGAGGTTTTGTACAAACAAAAACATCTTGGCTGACAATATGAGTAAGGAATGCCTTACTTCATATTGAATATATGATGGGTTGAAAGAAACAGGATGTGAGTTGACTGACATATCTATCACAAAGAGGATGCTAGGTGCATGGACGAGGCACCAGCTATATATCTGTGTGAGGAAAAGAAGAAGAAAGTTGCATAGAAAGTGGTTTGGAAAAGAAAGGCCTTCAAGAGGAGCTGATGGTTTGAAGGTGAGAAAATAAGCTGGAGTCAAGTGTAAAAGTGCTGCTAAGGGCAGCAGATGAACTTGCTAAACAAGCTAAAAGGAAAATAAAAATGATCCTTCTTGTAAAACCAAATGCTTTAAGAGCTAAAACTTTAGAGAAGAATAATCAAATAGCAGAAACAGAGGAAAAAATTTGGGAAGTAACATTCAGCAATCTCTGCTATGCTTATATTTGAAACCAGTGTGAAGTATAGCATTGGAAATCAGTCTAAGTTGCTTTTTCATTACATGTTATTATGTGACTAGGTGTTCTGAATTCAAATGATTGAATTTTGATATGATGATGCTATATTCTACCAGTAGCTACATACCACAGCTGGTTAACAGATGTTTGATTGAATTTTGATAGATAGTGTATACTTTCATGTGCTAATCTTTCTTTTCAACTAGTGGTTTAAAAAAAAAGGGATACTAGTCTAACTAATACAGCATGTATAGTAGTGCAAGTTTAACCCTTTTGCTGGTGAATGTGATATTGAATTATTTTCTTTCAACTTGATGATGGGTACAGCTTATGAAAAAACATATACAAACAGCTGCTTGGTGTGCTTTTTGTAGAACTCTCAAATTCTACAGTATGTTTGTTGGTACAATGTATGAAAATAATAAGTTAGCCAGTATGTATAAGTAAGTTACTTGTGCTTTAACTATTCAGAGAACGTTTACTGCATTTGATTATGGAAAACTGATTTTTTATTCAAAATGTTTGCTTTGTTCTGTGTATACAGCCTGATATGCATCCTAAAACTGCCCACTGTTGCACAACGTATCGTGATTGTAATAAACAGTATATCTTCACTTTTAAAAATTGTTTTATTGTAATATCTACTGCTGATAGTAAATTCAAATTTTAAAATTGCCAAGGTATAATAAACCGTCTGAAGTTTTGATAATTCATAAAGTTCTTTAAAAATATTTTATTGATTAATATGACATCAGAAAACAGATATGGTTTGTGATTTATAGGTTTGATTATTCTTTCCATTCCAGGAATATCTATGTGGGTAAATTTTAAGATGCCTCTTCATACAAAATCATTAATTACATAACTAGATGTGTTTTCATGGGATATGTATAAATTGCCGTCTACTACCTATTAATGTGGCTTTGACTGTTAATCTAGATTGGTGAGCATCATTTCTTCTGACCATATTGTGATGCAAGCAAGATGCACCAAGAGTTTTGCTATTTCCTCTTCTCCAAGTCTGTTGTTACTCACATAACTGTTAGTATCAGAGAGTGTGCTAGCACTCTCTATATAGGGATGGCACGGATGTCCGTATTAAAGCAATACAAAACTCATCTGGATTTTCTTCCCTATAGGTCATCAGAAGCTAGATATGAAGAGCTATTTGGCATACTCACTCTATCTCTGGTGTATATGCCACTTTTTAGCTATTCATAAATTTTTCCTAATACTAGTATAATTACAAGGTTACATATGGTGGAATATAAGATAAGGAAAAGTGGCAAATAGAGAGAGAGAGAGAAAATATAATGCCTAACATTCTTAGTCCAACCAAGAGAAAAGAGTTAATGTTATTATGGTTTTTCTTTGAACTACATTTACTACTAAAGTGATAATTTTCAGTTCTGTATGTACGTACAAAAAATATTTAAAGAATCTTTGTTTTTACATATTTTCTTATTGTCAGAGATACATTTTTTTAAATAGGCTAACAAAGTATTCTTTGTTCAGTTAGTTGAATTTCTTATTAGATGGCACTTGCTTATGTTTGAGAGTCAGGTTTCATTCTAAATGACAACTGTGTTGATTGTATTTGGTCCATAGTGTTACAGTAATGTGAAGTTAGATACTACTTTTAAAATAGTTGAAGATGCTGTTACGCCTCCAGTCATTACTTAATTTTCCGTAACTTTGTTCCGACGAAACTTTAGCGACACAAGTCCTTTCTTAATAAAACTGGTTTATTCTTTCCGAATACAACTTTACAATACACTTAATTTCAACAGTCGCGCTATAACAATGAACGTTAACTTCAACAATACTCT